GGGGCATGGAGCATGATATCTTATCCATAAATTTTAAATTTTAAATTTATCTGAAATTTGGATTTTGAAATTTATACTTGTTGATTTGCCAATATTTTCTAAAGTTTCTTGCATTTCCTGTTGATGCTCAAAATGGTTAGGCCAAGATTGAGTCCAACTTAGTGATGAGGTGTGATGGATGATGAATGAAGGTGAGGACCTTAAGCATGTGTATAAAGACTTGGGCAAGTGATAAATGTAAAGAATACAAGATATACGTGGTTCACCCTTAATGAATGGGCTACGTCCACGGAGAAGTATGTTCTCATTATAATAGTGTATGATTACATTTGTACATGGGGTTGGACCCGAATATAAAGATAACAAGTGAGATGCCCAGGTCAGGGATCTAGAAGAGAGTCCCCGGCCCTAGGGTCTAGCTCTAAGACCCGAATCCTCTTCTAAGTGGAGAGAGGAAGTCCCCTTCTCACATGAATACTACTCCCTATTTATAGGGAGGTGAAAGTGGGAGGTTTGTGTAGATTTCCGATGTGGGACTTTGTGCAAGTCACTGTGGTGGTGACACGTGTCTGCCTTGGTGCTAGTTGTTTTGAGGCTGGATATGCTCGGTTGATTATGGTGTAAACATTTCCAATTTTTTTTATATAGATTATGCAAGCACAAATGAATAGTATTGACACGTAGAAACCCAAAAATCTTATCCGAAAATATTATCCAAATTAATTGTTTAAGTAAAAAAAGTTGTGAAAAAAACAAAAAAAAATGAATAGTAATTGCCCTTTGCCATGACAACGGGTGGAAACGGAAATGGCTCTTTGCAAGGGCAACTACTATTTACTATTCACATAAATAGTGGCTGCCCTACCTCCCTCTTTGCCATGACAAATGGCAAATGGGTAGAGTTGCTCTAAAAGCAACTCTAGCAGTTGCCTTTGCTTGGGCAGGAGGGGCCCAAGCCCCATTTTTTGCTTCCAACAAGCCTAAGCTTCCCTAGCAAAAGCTGGGTCCCATGAAACCAAATCAGCTCAAGGGCAAAACGATCTCGCGCTCTAGCTTGGGTTTGCTGACGTTAGCAATAATAAAAAATTTATAAAAAAAACTAAAAATTTCATAATTTTTTTTTAATCATATTCTTCACTTCCTATACAAAAACTTTATACAAATTCATCTCCTCATATCTCATGTGAATAGTGATTGACATGATAATAGGTGGAAACACCACAAGCTTTTTGCAAATGATGCTACTATTCACGTAAATAGTAACAACCATTGCCCTTTGCTATGACAAATGAGTGGAAGTACTTTGAGACATCCACGAATTGGGCCTAGCCCTCACTTGGTTATTTCTTTAACTTCTCTTCTCTTTTAATAGCTGTTTTAAAAAAATAATAATAATATAAAACACCGTTTCGCAGTTGGATACTTGACTTTGTCTAGTAAAATGAGGTGCTTGATTAAATTGAAATAGATTGTAATCATGCCACAAAATAAAACAAAATCTTCAACATTAATACTAATTTCATGCTAATTTAAACATGATATTAACTAAAAACAATACCTCAATTAAAAAAAAAATTAAACATTATACAATCGAACAAAACAAAACAAAACAAAACAAAACACTTTAATTAAAAAAAAAATAACTATGTACATATTTATATTTACTTTCATTTCCCAATTAGGTCCTTAAACATAATAGAGCTCATAATATGAGAGTGAGACATGTATTAAAATTAGGTCCTTACACATATATTAAACATAATACAGCTTAATAAAGCTCAAAATTAGGTCCTTACACATGCATTAAACATAATAAAGCTTAATAAATTGTTGTCAATATTCTCTTCAACTTGTATTCTTCTAAATTATAAGAACAAAACTGTCTATGAGTTAAAAGCTGTATATATACATCCTCAAGAACCCAAATTCGTAATTCTCTACAGATTAAAATAGAGCATCCCTCTGTATAGTTCCTTTTCATGATTTGTTTTGATTCATGGAAACACAAGTGGCAACATTGTTTAAAAAGGCAATTTGATTTCTATTAATCTAATTAGGAAATTAAAGTTTTTTAAGGAGAAAAAATCGGAGTTTTCATCTAATATATTCAATATAATAAGTGATGGGTTTGTTCAGCACTTCAACTTAGCCAATCGAATGGAGATAGAGACTAAAGAAAGCTTATTCACAACACAAGGCAAATATTAGCAAATGAAGACCTTGAAATCTGACCAAAAGTGTATACAAACAAGAACTCTTCGTTATAAAATGAATTTGGCAGATGAAAACAATTAAAAACATAGAAAATTTATCCACAAAAAACAATTAAAAAATATGCAGAATTTCGGCAGAACATCAAAATCAGAGAGAGAGAGAGAGAGAGAGAGAGAGAGAGAGAGAAATGAAGAATACCTCAGAGAGTGGCAGAACTGCTACTGGAAGCTGCAACCTGCTCCAGAAATTTCCTACTAATCTACACGAACTGCTGCTAATCAAACCTAAATCAATTTGAATCAATTTGATAAATTTCTAGGGCTGCCATTTTATTTTAATCAAACCTCAATCAATTTGAATCAATTTGATAAATTTCTAGAGCTGCCATTTTACTTCAATCAAACCTAAATCAATTTGAAAAACACCCTAAATCAATTTGTACCACAACTCTAAATCAATTTGAAAAACACCCTGTACAAACAACAGACAATAACAAGCTAAGAACCACAAGCCAGGTAGGTGGAGAAATAATCTAAACTTGACAGCATAACAAAGAAATTCAAATTCTCAAATAGTTTATGACGAATCATACCTGACAGACGGAAAGAGAGCTAAATAAAATGAAAAGAAGTGCGGGCAGGTGTAGGCTTTCCTTCCACTGCAACAATTTCACTTAGGATTGCTTTTTCTTATCTGTTAGATTAGATCCGAGGGTTGTTCTCACGTAGAGATTCTCAAATAGAACTCCCCGCCAGATAACAGCTCGTATTTTAATGTGCCATATCATGAAATATGGGACTAGAAGCCCAAAAAGAAATATGATAAAAACATTTTAATGACAAAAACGTTAGACACACACACCACATGCAAACTAATCAAAAATAAAGGACGGTAGCGCACAGCGACACGTGTCAATAGAGGTCCATTTTTCGTATCTTAAATGTAAAATTTTTTGAAAAAATGAATAAAAAATCAGAAAAATCCATCGAAAATTTCTAAAAATTCATTAAGACATTCTCTTCGACTATAATGTGTGAAAACAAAATTTTGACTTTGGGAAATTTGAAGTGATAATTGGAGGAAGAGTTGTTGTAAGGGAGAGTAATAATGTTCAACATAGTATTATTGTTAGTATATAAACAAACTTCCATTATTGACAAATATTTTTGAAATTTGGATATGTAACTATTAGAGTAATGCTATTTAGACACACAAGATTGACCACATTAGCCGAACACTTAATGTGGCAGATAATGTGGTCATGCCATGTCAATTAATAAATATTGCCATGTAGACTCAAATTATTCTTTATTTATTATTTCTCTTATCAATAATCTGGAAAAAAACAAAACAATAAAATTAAAATTAACCTAGTGTCCTGGGCCTGTACGAAGCCTCGTTGGTTCTGAACTCTTTCTCACGTCTCCAACCCTTCCTTTATCAAATCTACTCATATCTCTCCTCTTCCATTGAAGTTAAGAAAATAAGAAATTAACTATTAAAAAAGGAACTCATTTGATATAGGTATACAGACAATTAATTCTAGAGGTACAAACCCATTTGATGGAATCATTCGCACACAATTTCAAGGCCACCCCTCCTCCTCCAAGGGGAACAGACAAACCCCATTAGGGGTGGGCATGATTCGGTTTGGAACCGTTTTTTGTCCCAAATTGGAATCGACTTCGGTACTATTTAACCGGTTCAGTTCGGTCCGATTCTAACCAAAAAAAATTTAAAAACTGTTTGGTTTGAGTTGAATCGGTTCCGGTTTGGTTTGGTTTTGAATTGAATTATTATTACTATTTTTTCAAATTAATTTTTTTATTCAAATTTCAACTGAAATTTTATTTTTTTGACATGAAAACTAACAAATTATTCAATTTCATACAAAAAGAAATATTAAGGCTAGAAAAGAGATGTTTTGAAATTGAACTTGGGTAAATATTAGTTATGAGATTAAAAATATAGTATTGGATATAAATAAACATTAAATATATTTTTTAGTTTGACCGGTTCGGTTTGTTGAGGTATAGAACCTGAACAGGATCCGATTAGAACCGGTTCGGTTCGGTTTTTTGAATTGAGTTTGACTTTTTGGTCAACGCGATTTATTTCAATTTTTTCCAATCCGGTTTGGTTCGGTTGATCGGTTCTTCAATTCCGATGCCCACCCCTAAACCCCATTTGAATGAGTCAGTCTTAGTGGAGGAATGGAGGGCTCACAAAGACATCGTAGGAGGAATCACAAAGACAACTAGCAATTTCAGGGCCTTCTATTTTCCCATTATAAATACAAAGACGATTGGAAATTGGCAACTCCTTTTGATGGAGGAATGGAGGGCAGGAGACGTGAGGAAGTATTGAAAGAACGAGAGGCTACAATCTAAGGGACGCTAGGGTTAATTTTAATTTTATTTAATTTTATTGTTTTAGTTTTTCAAGATTATTGATTTGTAAAATAAATACAAATATAATCCATATGTGAGAGTTCATTAATTGACATGACATGACCACATCAGTTGTCATATAAAGTGGTCGGCTAATGTGGTCAATCTTGTGTGCCCAAATAACATCACTCATATTTTAAAGCTTAAAAGAGGAAGGAAATGTGATAAGGAGTGTGGGATGTTTTGGTGAATTTTTCATATTTTGTATGAATTTATTATGATTTTTGGAAATTAAAGCATTGGAAAATACTACTAAATGAAAGAGAATGACACATAACAACCCCAAATTGGTGTGCGATCAAAGTTTCGAACAAGTATCAGTAGTACGCAGCGTGCCATCAAAGGTTCATTTTTGTGTCTAACGTAAAAATATCACAAAAAATGAATTAAAAAAAATATACAAATACCTACGAATACCAAGATCCTACATAAAACAGCAAATGTACTCATATCTCATTAACATATTTGAAACCATCTCTTCCTACAATTCTGGTTTACAGAGTTGGGTGATTTGTTGAGCATGAAGACTTAATGACCATATTCAGCTCCTGAATAATCAGATTTCCTCGGTTCTGTAGCAATCTTTGTTCCCACCTCCTTTATTTTGTTGTTGAAGTAGTGGAAGCACTTCATTGTATAGAATCCTATAGCAGCTCCCTGCTAATTGTCACATCAATCTTCCTTTGCTGCATTGAATCAGTTTCAGAAAATTAAAGCCTATTATTGATATGTCACATGATTGTAAGGAAGTATCAGCATCTTCATATATATAAACATAGTTAAAATTCTCATATAGTTCAAAACGCTAAACGAAGAAACAATAGGCCACTACCAAGATAATCATACATCAAATGCATACTTGACAATGAAGAATAAGAATCACAGAGACACAGAAGTGCCCAAAGAAATGTAGGAATTTAATGAAAACCACAAAGAGAATATGGATTTAAGGGCGAGCATGCATTTGAAACAATATTCTGCATAATAAAAGAATACAATTCACTACGAAAAATGAATGCAATCTTGTACTTCTTCATCCATTCCAAATGAAGGCAAATGGAAAAAGCAAAATCAAATTAAGAAAATTTCTGCGTTGCTTTTGTTCAGAATAGAAAGAGTTCATACAATGTATACATATTTTGCGACTGATAATTTTAGGATATATCTATTGTTTAGAGGACACTTGTGTTAACATTGGTTATTATTGTTAAGCAGCAAGTCAAAAAACTGACCTCATTTAGGTAGGTGTGTATGGTATATCCATTGCCCTTCTTCAACCATGGATGGCCTCTCCCCTTGTAGCAATTGTAGCCTATTGTAGTCTGGCTCAGTAAAGAAATGACCCGCATAAATGAAGCCAACATCAGAGTACATAAGAACTTTCTTTCTATATAGAGAAAAGGCAAACAACAATATCCAAATTAGAGCAACTGGCCCAATTTTAGGAAAAAAAAAATACAAAAACCAAACATAAAATTAAAGGGAAAAAAAATAGAACTACAATTGTAAACTGAGTTCCTTGACTTGTTCAAAGAGTGGCATGACAGGTTCGGCAACAACAAAGATGGCACGCTTGGTGGTAGAACCACCCAAAGTTTATCAGCTTAAGTACTATGGAATAAGGATATAATATTTGGGTGTCTAACCTGAAACAAAATCACATTCCAACTAATGTATCATGATTGGAAACTTTAAAATACAAAATAGTTTCCAACTAACCTGGAAAACATGAAATATAGTTTCCTCTACTTCTTTTGCTTCGGGTATGGAACGGAACCCTTATACGTCAGAAAGGTGAGAGACGATTCCATCTATTAAGATAAAATTCCAAAGACTTTAATTTCATAAGTCAAGCAAAACATTCAAATTAGAGAGAGATAATTAGAAATGCAAACAAAAGCATCCATATAAATATCATTTGTGACAAAAGCATTTTTCAGAAATCAAATTACATAGTTTATACAAATTTTGACAGGAAGAACGAGAAAAGCTCAGTGTAATTGCCACCATCGCAAATTATGTCCCTTTTGGGGTTTTGCAAGTAATCTTTGTAGAGCTTATATATGGTGGTGGTGGTGGTGGTGGTAGTGGTGGTGGCTAGGTCGTTGTACCCATTGCAGCACCTTTTGGCCAAACCTAAATCTACAAAGTTAGAGAAAGCAATCACACGAAGCGCAGCTGTCGAAATCTAACAGAAAACAAACTGAAACAACCTAATAGAAGCATTAAGAAATCACCCAACTATGTACATAGAAACACATAATTTAAACCTAGAAACAGAGTCTCCTGTGCATCACAACACCTACACCTAAAGTGAACACATAGCCACACAATTGTTTAAACCAAACCATAAACCTGCAATTTCCTTTTAACTGGGCCAAAATACCCACACCTCCTTCTGCATCTCTACCACTCTATCATAAAAAACACCCAAACCACAATAAAATGCATTCTACCAAACCAAAAATAAAACCCATTTAAACAAAACGTTCTCCAAGATTATAGGCCACACAAATCATCCCAAAAATTAAATTCATAACTCCATCTGCATTAGCTGTTGATGGAATGTGAACTTCGGAACGTATTGTTATAAACTTTTACATTGGCATAAGACCATTTCATGAGAAATAATAAATGGTAATAAATATATAAATCTATTCCAAAACTAAAATCAGAAATTCATAACAATACGAGTGTAAAATTAGAGACTGCACAAAGCGACTTTACCTAAACTAAAAAAACCTAACTCTGGCAGCTGAACTGAAATTAGGGATTGATGTACAGAAGCAATTGATACTGAAAGCGAAAAAAGACAATTATGTCACTCGAAACCCAAAAAAAAAAAAAACAAACAAAGGTATGAAGGTCACAGGAGGTACCCTTGGACTTGTCCACGAAAAAGAGGGATTTTGATTCACTGCTCGAAGAAGTCATGATCAATGCTTATGTTGACTCACCATGATGCTTCCCCATCCCTCTATCTGTTGAGTCTCTCTTGCGCTGCTTTCTCCTGCAACAAATTGTATCTGCTTTAACAATTAAAAAATGAAAAGAAAAATGAATATCAAAACAATAAATTTTACTAGAATTAGACAAAGTTTAAGAAAATTGTAGATATAAACACGTTCAAGCAATATTCAGAGGAATACTCTCTTTTTTTCTTTCTATATTTGATTATCTTCAAAACAATAAATTTTACTATTAACCTCTATCATGTTTTACCTTTAAATCAGTACCAGAGCAATGAACCACAAGCTGTAACAATACAATCCCAAAGAGGAGAAGAAAAATCTTCTCCATAATTTGAGACAAACCAAATTCTTTATCCATAAGCAGACCCTATTTTCAATGGGGTTGGAGACAAAACATTAAAAACAGAAGTGAAATCACAAAGCTTTAGTATTTAGAAATAAAAGCAAAAAATGAAAACTTGTTTCAATGACATTCCAACAAGGATTCAGATTGCTTACCTCGAATAAGATGGTATTTCCCTGTGCTTCTCTTGCATAAGCTTAGATGACTCAATGGCTGCACAAGCTGTGCGTCTCATCGAGCAAACAGGAATATAAAAAAGTTTATCTCACATTTCTCAACATATTGAAAAGATCTCACACTCGTCAACATAATACTTGATCTAAACAAGTGAAGAAAGCAAAATGATACAAGCAGATGACAAAAGTCCCAAAAAAAAACATGACATATACTCAAAGAATTAGAAGGCAAACCAATAAATTGAATAAGTGAGATGCTGCAGTTTGAACAGCAAACGTCAATGGAAAGCAGATACAATATAATCTTAAGAAGCTAAATAACCTAGTTCACACTCAGCCATCTGGATATTTGGACTGGTAATATCCATTCTATTCCGCTACTCAGCCATCAAAAACATGATTTCCTATTCCTATAAAATTTAACAAGCAGAGAACAACTACTTAAATATTAAAGAAAATCTAATAATTATAAGCAACCGCGTTAAAATGATGACAGATTATATGTCAACTTAATGATAAATTACATTTCTTTGGTCTTAAAAAAATTGTGATTCCGTCTCCAACATCAAGTTGGTCTTTTCATTTTAATTTTTCTGCCAACCCTAAAGGAAAATCTTTTGTTTTCTTCCCTTCTCTTTTCCATTTAGATAAAGCAACCCAAAAATATCCATCCATGTTGTCTAACTGAAACAACCACACAGCGACTTATTTATTTATTTAATTTTAAAAAATCCCAACGCTAATCTTATTAATTTAAAAAAAGAAAACAAAAAGGAAAATTTACATTTTACATCACCATTATTTATTAAACATCCCCAAAAATACATCAAATAACAAATGAATAAATAACTCCATCAAAACACACACCAAGAAATTGTTGAGCATAAAAATCATTACGGACAAAATGTTTAGTTAATTAAAGAAAAGACAAGCTTACATTAACTGACGAAGCAGAGCCTCTGCCTTTCTGGCTTCTTCACCATCGTCATCATCACCGACCTCACTGCACTGATTCACGTCACAAAACGTTAAAAGAAAAATTCACTCAATCTCTCAATCTCACAGAGACACAATCATGTTCTTAAAGAAATAAGCCCATAAGTGGAAACCCAGAAAATCAAAGCCCTAAAATCCAAAAAGCAAAAACATTAAGTGAATGCAATAGAAAATGCAAAACATCTTATGAAAGTTTGAAAATTTATTACCCTCTCAACGAGATCTCAGATATTAGGGTGGGTGTTCTAACCACATGGGGGTTTTGGGCGTTTCCAACTGAGAGAACGGCAGGATGGACAACACAGGTAGAGGGCAACAACGAATAGGAGAATGAAACAGATTGATACCAAATGAGAGCAGTAAATAGGGCTTTTGGACCTCGATTTTTGATAGGGAAAGGAAAGAGAGAGATGACGGCGGGGAGGGATATCGACGCAGAGAAACTGAGAGAGCAAGACAGAGATGGAGTTTGAGAGGAGAGAAACTGAGAGGACAGAGAAAGAGAGAGGGAGTTTGAGAAAGGTATCGATTCTGACCAAAGAAAATAGGAGATGGTTTGAGAGGAGGATGGAGACTGAAAAGAAGCGCGGGAGCGTGAAAAAATTGGAGGGTGTGGGCTTCCTTCCACTGCAACAGTTTCACTTAGGATTGCTTTTTCTCATCCGTTAGATTAGATCCGACGGTGTTCTCACGCAGAGATTCTCAAATAGAAATCCCCACCAGATAACAGCCCATATTTTAACGTGCCATATCATGAAATATGGGACTAGAAGCCCAAAAAGAAATATGATAAAAACATTTTAATGACAAGAACGTTAGACACACACACCACATGCAAACTACTTAAAAATAAAGGATGAATTGCATGAGTTGACAGTTGACTGAGTTCTTCAGCAAGAAAAGCATTTGTTTTATCATGAATGGTAGGTGGAAGTGGAACATTCATTTCCATCCCCATCCGGTTATAAAAAGCCCGTATTGTCTTCTTTTGTAATTAGGTTACTTATGTCTTTCATCACTAACACCGCGTTTAAAATTGTATTGTAAAAAATAGGTAGAATTACGCACTTTCAAAGCATTTCACTCAAGAACCGCAAATCAGCTGAAGCTAGAGATATTTCATCACTAACGGATCAATAGAAATTTGATTTCCTTTCCATTGATCGTCAGTTTTGATTTGTATGATTTCTTGTATGTCTTGATGTTAGTTATAGATAATTGTTCTAGAGTTTTCTATAACCCTAAAGATAGCTGAGAAATATCTCTTTGTTTTTCGAGTGTTTTAATCATCTCAGCGATCTCTAGGGCTATAAAAAATCTGAAAAATCTAGAACAACTATCTATAACTAACATCAAAGACATACAAGAAATCATACAAGTCAAAACTAACGATCATTAATGGAAGGAAATCAAATTTCCATTTATCCGTACTTAGTAGATCCTTCATCAATAGAGTACAATGAGATCACAAAAATTGCTGAGGAGCATGACTTGAAAATCATGCCTTACGACATCGACTACGAACTTAAGCAAAACAAGTAAGAATTTTTATTTTATTTTTTGGTTTTAATTATAATGTTTTTTAAGTTTTTAGTATTTTATAATTTTGGCTTATTCAAATTTTCATTTCTTTCTTTTTATTTATTGACAGGAAGGCTTCCAAGGGAGATGAGGGCTCCAGTACTTACGGTAGTAGTACATCCTGGCCTTGATTATCAATGCTTTTTAAATTCGTGCTTTTATTATAGGTATGCTTTTTAAATAAGGTGGCATGTGTGGTGTGGTAATCTTTCTTACACCGTAGTTTTCTTCGGGAAAGTTTTAACGAGGCCAGCCCTTATACATGTTGTGTACTCAAAAACTAGAAAAAAAGAAGTTTACATCTTAACTATTCAGAAAGTAGTATTGAAATCCAATATCAATTTCTTTTCTTTTAAAAGGAGATGAAATCACAAAGACTAAGTCCACCAAAACTTGATAAGAAATCAGAAAAAATTATTTATTTTTTTTGTCAAATCAGAAAGAATTAATTAGAAAGGGGTAAAGTGGTAAAATAAACGTGTTGAAATTTTAATTTTGAAAAAAAATATGAAAAGAAAATAAGATGAAAACGTGCTCACGAAATACCAAAAAATACTTGGACAGAAAAACCCCCGAAACAAAAAAACCAATAGCTTATGAGAAATTTATGTTTTAGAGTTCGAATGTGCAGTTTCGCAAACACGCAATAAAATAAGAAGGAAAAAAATACAAATTCACAAAACTCAGCCATATCGTGTGAGAAGAGCAGCTGCTTTTAGTTTTCACCCAATATCATCCCTCGATCAAGCATATTATTGATCTGCCAAATAAACCGAAAGAAAGACCAACACTTGTGCAGCAGGAGCCTTTAGAGAATGGGTCAACCATCACATAGTGACCCTACATGCCTTGCATTGCATGACTCAAATATAAAGGGATTTACTACCCAATGAGAGACCATTTTTAATAAAGCAAAATTGTTTTGAAATTAATTCTTTTTGCCCAACTTGTGGTGTGGGTGTCTATATCAATCAGCCTTAAGAAAACTCACATTTTTAATTTCAAAGAAATATCAGCTGGCTAAATTTGGGATTTAAACCCCTTCATATGTCTTCTTTTATTTATGTTTATATTAATCGGGATGGGCGATTCAAACTTGCAATCTCTTTTGTGAAGAGAAATACCACTAGAACAAGATGTAGTTGTAGAAATTGTGTTTTAAAAAGTTTTTAGTTAATTAAAAAGCCACCAATAACATGTCACATAAAAGAGTTTTCGGAAACCATATAGATTGTGAGACCATGTCTATTTTTTTGAAGTGTGTGATTAGGCGAATAAATTTTTCGCAGTTGCATATGAGGACTTGAAGATGAACTTGAGGTGGGAAGATGTGAAGAGGATTTAAAATCAAGGATTAGATTCACTAGGGACTTGTTAAGTGTAGAAACCTAAACTATTATTACTATATATTCGTGTTTAATTAGTTGTTTTGTTAAAGTTTATTAGTAATTTTTTTATTTTCTTTAAGTTCCGGTTCATATTTTAATCTGGATTTGTGAAAGAAAAAAAAGTTTCTTCATCACATTTGGCATGACATTTTCAAACGACGAATAGGGAGACTAAACTTTACCATACACAACATTGCTTTTGTTCAAACTTCTGATCACCCTCATCTCTATGTCCCGGAAAATGGATGATTTCATGGAATTACGTTCAAGGGCTATGTGAAAGAACAGCTGGTTTTGATGGGGAAATGTTGTATGATTTAGTGATCGGGGTAGCTGAGGCTTAAGTTCTTCTTAAGCTGAAAATTTAGTTTGTGTGTAATCAGTTTCATATGAACATGGTATAAGCAGAAGATTAAAATGAAAGTTTCTGTCTGATCAGTTTCAATTAATACATGCCAAACCAATAGTTTCTCCACTTTCAGAGCAAAAATGTT